CATCAAGATCACCAAGAACGAGCCAGCCTCTGCTGATGATTTCCTGCCCACCCTGATTTACATCGTGCTCAAGGGGAACCCCCCACGCCTGCAGTCCAACATCCAGTACATCACTCGCTTCTGCAACCCCAGCAGGCTGATGACTGGGGAGGATGGATATTATTTCACCAACCTGGTGAGTGCAGCAGGGAGGGTGGGCTTGCACAGCAGGGTTTGGCTTTTATCTGGAGGTAGGAATTGCCAGCAAAGGGCATAAATTCAAATTCATGTACCTAAGTTCAAATTCATCTTCAAACAGTGGTTGAGGTTACTTAGCACACAGCCTGTTTTGTCTCCTCTCTCTTCCATCTCTGCTGTCCAAATCAGATTATTTATTAATTTTTAATTAATTATTTTTTTTATTAAAGTTATAAAATAAGATAATTTATTGTCTTATTTTATAACTTTAAACCCTTTATTTGAAAAGTCTGATGCTAAGATCTGGGTGTATTTTTATCCTGCAAGATCAGGACTCTCTGTTCCTCAAACCCTGAGTTTGGGCTGTGCAGATGTTCCAGATGCAAAGTCCCCTCTGAGAGTTTTTTGAAGGCCATTCATGTGTGGAGGTAAACAGGGATTTTACAGCTTCTCCAAGAGGCATTTCTTAGCGTGCTCTGTATTTTATCCTAAAATGTCCTGGAGGGAAATTACAGAGTTAAATGAAACACTTGGATTGTTAAAAGTTCATTTCAGTAGGAGCCAGAGCATCCACCAAGTGAGCTGAGCTTTGACATTCCTTCAGGAAATTAATTAATTAAATTAATCTGCATAGCAGATCTCTGCTGATCAGATAATTAAATATTAATACACTGCTCCTGTCTCCTTGGCATGTTCCTGCTGTTCCCTCACCTCCCCAACCCACAGACCCTGAGGTCTGGAATGTACCTTGGCAGCTCAGTTTTTGATTTCCTCAAACTTCTGGGGAGAGGAAAGAGTTGTATGAAGTGCCTGATAAAATTAACTTCTGGAAAAGCTCATTTAGGGCATTAAAAATATTGAAAAACCAGTTGCTGGTGTAAGAAGAGGGAAAGGAATAGAAAATGTTGTAACATTTTCTGTAAATGTAAAACTGCAAAACAGTTTTCTGGCTGTAAAACATTGCAGTGTGTGGTGATTGCAGTCCTGCAGTGATGCTCTCTGCTTTGTTTGCAGTGCTGTGCTGTGGCCTTCATTGAAAAACTGGATGCTCAGTCCTTAAACCTGAGCCAGGAGGATTTTGATCGCTTCATGACGGGCCAGACCTCCCCAAAAAAGCAGGAATCTGACACTTTCTCCCCTGATGTGTGCCTGGGGGTGAAGCAGATGTGCAAAAGCTTAGACCTCCTCTCTCAGTTGAATGAGAGACAGGAAAGAATTGTCAGTGAAGCCAAGAAGCTGGAGAAAGACCTCATTGATTGGACTGATGGCATCACCAAGGAGGTGGAGGATATTGTGGAGAAATATCCCTTAGAAATCAAACCAAAAAGTCAAGCCTTAGCAGCCATTGACTCAGAAAACGTGGAGAATGACAAGCTGCCCCCACCACTGCAGCCTCAGGTTTATGCAGGGTAATTTTCCCCAGCTAGCTGGGAAGGGAAGGAAATTTAAGGCAAAAAAAAAAAAAAAGAGCTTAAATCAGTACATTTTAAAAGGTACTTTTGTTTTGGTTTTTTGGGTTTTTTTCTTTTCTTGGTTAAGTGTAATGAATTGTATTTATTTTAGTCCAGTAGGTTTCTATTAGGCTTTGGTGGGTTTTTTGAACTGAATTTCGATTTTCTACACAAACTGGTGTAATTTTTAAGCAACACTAGTCCATTGACATCTCTCCTGAAAGTTCCCTTCTAAGCATGCACTTAATTGTTTTTAATAATTGGTTTAACTTGAAGCCAAGTTCCAGCAGAAAAAAAAAAAGTACCAATGTTAGTCTGAACTTATTCTGTAGCTGTAAAGATGAATTATATATTGTAAAATATGTAAAATTGTAAATAGATTTCAAATCTAATGTCCCAACTGTGCATGAGCTCGTGTGTGAGTGAAAATGATCTCAAAATATTCATTTTAGCACCTTTCAGTTCCATCATGTTGCAGTAAAAAGGCAAAAATGCTGTTGGAGTTTGGATAACCTGGAAGGGAGAAGTTGGAGTGATTTGCAGACTTAAAAATCATCTTAATCTGCTTTGTTTAAAAAAAAAAAATTATTTAAAAGATGCCATTTCTTCATTTAAATGCTCTGTCAGAACACCTGGTAGCCTTGAGTGGTGCCCAAAAGTGCTGATTTTACTGCTTTGGGAGGGAAGGTGGGGCCAGAAATCGAAAATATTTCAGGAATAGGAGGAAATATTTGTATTAAAAACTGCATAATGTGGAACAAAAAAAGGGGAGGGGAAAGAGACCATGAAAAAGTTGCTCCAAAAGTGTCTCTCTCTCTCCTGGTCACTTCCATCAGTGGAATAAATTTTGGTTGCTTTTTTTGACAATCCTGGGAAATAATAAATAAATAAATAAATTCATATAATTTGAGATTGCTTTTTAGAAGGAGCAGAAAAATGCACTTTATTTCCATGAAACATCAACGTTCTGCTCTTCAGTGACCCCTTCAGTACCTTGAACAGCCAGCTAAAAATGGCTTTTTGTGTCACTGAAAGTCACTAAAATTCAGATTGGGGTGGAAAAGAGGAGCTCACCCCACAGAAAACAACCTTTTAGAACAGAACTTTGAAACTTTTTCTGTGTCATTTTGAAATCTCTTCCAGCTCCAGCCAGCCCTGACCTGAGATCCCAAACCCAAAGCTCAGCTGGAGCTGCTTTTAAGCCAAGTTTAACTCTTGCCATGAGGAGGAGAGCACAAAGCTCGTGCTTCATTCCCACTCCAAGGCACTGCTATTCAATTTGCACTGCAATAACTTCAGACCACGACTGTGATTTTCCCTTTTTCTGGCAGGTTTTGGCTTTTTTATGAACTATGCACCACCCCTGGTGTTCAGAGCAGAAGCTGCAGCACTGGGATGCTCACAACAACACCAAAAAAATGAAATTATTCCGTGTGTCACCGCCCAAATCACTTAGTGAACAATCCTGGGATTTATTTCATTTATTTAGGTGCTGATTCCCATCTCCAGGTTTGTCCCGAGGGAGGGGTGGGGGAAGCAAACTTGCGGCTGTTGTGTAAATGAGAGTGTTTAAATAAAAGTTCTGCCCTGGTTCATGAGTCCCTAAACCCTCCTCGCCTTTTGTTATTCCAGTCACGATTCATGGCTGCTCCTGCATCCTCTGAGTCGGGAGAATCTTTCTATTTCCATCAATTTCTGATCAATTTCAAATATCTGTTTCTATTTCCATCAGTTCTCAAGTGCCCTCTAAGTTCTAGGCTGGGTACCAATGTTTATTTTTGTTTTCTTTGCAGAGGAGTCGTTGGGTGATGAAGCACTTGGGAAGGATTTTGTAACTAAAATCTCTTTTTTCCAGTGACATCTTGTAGTTAAGGCACCAAAATGGGGGTGTTTGGAGTAAACTAGTCAGGAAAGGTGGATTTGAGTCAATTTGAAAAATGTGAGTAAATTTGATTTGAGTGAATTAGTCATTAAAAGTGGATTTCCACACCTGGAGTAATCCCTGAGCAGGGCTGGAGCACAGAGGCACTAAATTTGAAAAATTTACTCAAAATTTGAGTGAATTAGTCAGTAAAAGTGGATTTCCACACCTGGAGTAATCCCTGAGCAGGGCTGGAGCACAGAGGCACTCAGAAAGTTTGGGTGAGACCCCAATGCTGCAAAAAATAACAAAGCAGAGACTTTAATGAAATATCATCCCTTTTAAAAAATGATTTAAATGGAAATATCATCCCTTAAAGTGGTTTAAAATACTGGTGCTGTGCCCACAGTCACAGTGTCAGAAATTTGCTTTATTTTTCCTGCTCTTAGCTCATTGTCACTGAAAACAAAGACTCTGCAGCTCCTCGGCTTGGATCTTTTATTGTAAAATATTTCTTTGCATGGGAACTTCTGCATTTATTTCCTTTGGTAAGGAAGGTATTTTACAGGAAAAGCTGGAGTCATTAATTGTGACTGTTCATTAATTCAGTGCTGTCATTTTTGGAGTTTCTGACCTTTCAGATCCTCATGGGACTGCTGGAATTTTACCTTCCCAAAGCATTATTAGGGAATATTTTTCACCCAAATATTTTAATGCATAATCATTAGCTTATTTTTTATTATTAATTTATTTTTATGCAATATTTAGGGAAGGTTTTCTCCCAGCTTGCCCAGCTGTTAGGGACACTAAACAGCTCCACCAGAGCTCACATTTATCCTCCTGGAAACATCGCCATCCTATTACTTATAATTATATTATCATAATTACCATATTGCCAATAATATGGCAATATGGTAATTATAATAATATAATTATATATAATATAATTATATATTATCATGTATATAATATATATTATATATAAAATTATAATAATATGGTAATTGTTAATAGTAGTAATATAATGCAATATAACACAATTATATTATTTATCACGATAAATGTAAACGAAGGTTTGTTTGCTTTCAGGATTTAACCTGAACAGAAATAACAGGTTTTACACTTTTTTTTTTGGTGTAAATAACAGAAGAATAACCTTTAGGCATTGGAATACCCATTGGTATGGGTATTTCTGTTAGGAAACATAACAAAAAAGATGTTTGGGGATAATTTTTCGAGGAAAAGGGGAGGTGGAAGGCGGGAACATCCTGAGGGAGGCTGGAGCGCGGGGCCGGGGAGACACCGCCGTGAGGGCCCGGTGCCGCTCCCGGAGCCTCTCCCGATGCTGCTCCCGGGCCCGTTCCGGTGCTGTTCCCGTTTCCATTCCCGGTTCTATTCCCGGTTCCGTTCCCGGTGCCGTTCCCGGCCCCTCCCGCGCTGCCGGCGCCGCCTCAATCTTGTCCCCCCCGCGCCACCGTCGGCGGGTGAGGGGTCAGGGCTGCGGCCCGGAAGCGGCGGCGGAGGCGGGGCCCGGTGCCGGGGCCTGTCCGTGTGTCCGGCCCGGGGCTGCCCGGGGAGCGGCCTCTCCCCCCGCTGCCCGTCCGCCCGTGCCCGCAGCCCCGGCAGGGCAGGACGATGGTGCAGAGCCCGCCCGCACGGCAGCGCCGCCGCCTCTGAGCCCCGCCCGGCCCGGGGGCCTGAGCCCCGCCGCGGACGCCGGTAAGGAGCGGACGGGGGCGGCTCTGCGGCCCGGCCTGCCGGGGGATGGGCACGCCGTGAGGGGCTGGGAGCGGCGGGGGGAGCACCGGGAGAGCCCCCGGGGAGCCTCGGGCCGCGGCTGCCCCCGAGCCCCGGTCCCGGCTGCGCTCGGCTCCGCTGCGGGGTTGTAGCCTCGGTTTATTTTTGTTATTTACACATAAAAATGGTGTCGGGAGAGGTCGTCAGCTTGAAGTTTGTACGCGTGGCGTCGTAGCAGGGGGGGAAAAAATAACAGCGGTGAAAAATAATAATTTCTGTAGCTCTAAAAATAGTTGTGTTTTGAAATAGCCTCCGAACAGTGATTCCTGCGTGGGGAATCACTTTTTGGGGAACCTTTTTTTTTGTGGTTGTTCTGGGATGTTTTGCCCAGTTTTCTCTACACCCGTATTTCATCCTCTTTTACTTTTTGAGGGGGGTTAACTTGACTAATGATTTCATGATGGTTTTAATAATAAAATTCCTGGTGCATCATGCCTGGAACATGGCTGCTCCATCCCTGCTGTTAGATCCAAACCGTGGATCCGAATCACCCTGGGAGAAAAACCCATTACAGCACAGCTGGGATTTTATTTTTCCCCATTTTCCCTTCGTTTGCTCTTTAGGGTTTGTCTTTGGAGAAATTTATTTCCAGGATTAGCTCTGGAGATGGAATTATCCGGGTGAATTTGCCCTGGCAGACGAACCTGGGTGGTGGATACGGATTCATTAATTAAGGTTTGCTCTCCACATCCTCGCTGAACTTCCCCGAAGTTTGGCCGCTGGAACAACGTGGTGGGGAAATAAACCTGGGCTTGGCTGTTGTGGTAAATGATTATTGCGTTTTTTTCTGAGGGCTGAGTTACGGGAAACACTCGGGGTGAATCCCTGTGCCCCTGGTCAGGACCCGGCGGCTCCGGTTTCACCGGGGAGCTGCTGCCGCTTCCCTGCCCTGCCTGTGCCCGGAACAGTCGCGGTGGCTGCGGTCCAGCTCCTGCCCAGCAGGTGTGCTCAGCTCTGAGGTAACTCCTGTGGCAGCCCGAGCACAGATCGTATTCAATTGTGGCTGGGAATCGCTCCCTGAGCCCGGCCCACCGGGCAGGATTAAGCCCTGGGTCGCTTTGTTACCTGCCCTGATTTGAGGAGTGGCTCTGCTGGAATGTGATTCTTCTTTTCCGCTTGAAAGACAAGAGCTTGAAAGGTCACCTGAGAAAACAAAATCGTCCCTGTGCTCTGAGAGTGCCCAGCTGAGGGCAGGGGACAAAGAGAGCTGGGTGTCCTTTGTGAGCTGGGGACAGAGGGACAGAGCCTGGCACATCCAGACCCCTCCTGGAGCACCCCCTGAGCTGATCCTGCAGGTCTGGCAGCTGCCATAATCTTCTTTTTTATTAAATAACAGCACAGGCTTTGTAGAAATGAAGCTGTTTTTAGCAATCTAGCCCTAAACTATTAATGAAACTCGCTGGTGTCAGAATTGTGTTGCTTTTCCCAAACCTCCTCTTACCCAAAGCATGGCTGGGTGGGAGTTCATTTTCTTTCTAAGACTGTCCTGACCTGTGAATAAAGCAGGTTCCCAGGACTCAGAACTCCCAGGTTTTGGGAGAAAATGTGTGTGTTTTTGGGGGTTTGTTAATCTGTAAAATGGAGTGAACTCACCCAGCTGGGCTGAGCAAGCTGAGGTGCTGTTTGCTCTGAGCAGCGGGGGTGAAGCACACAGACATGAGAATATTCAGCCATAGCTTTGATATCTCAGCTGTGTCCCAGCTCCCTCATTTCAGTTTTGCTGCTGTTTCTATTTCCATCTGTGGCCACTGGCTGTTTTGCTGCTTCTCCCCCTTCTTTCCACACCCAAACTCTGAATTTGCCATTCCCCAAAGCTGCCATTTCCTCAGCTTGTCAGTCATTTTTCTGCTTGTGATTCAAGCTGTGTATCTGTCTGCATCCCTGTCTCCTCACAGTTCTCATTACAGACTGAAGAGCCTTTTCCTGGCATTTCTCTGCACTTTCACTGCTGAATTGGGTTCCACATTCCTTAATGAGTAGCTTTAATGAAGTCAACAATTAACCTTGAACTGGTCACTCAACAGTTTGTGATTATTGAACAGTTACTGAGCATTTTCACACTTGTTCATCAAAACCAATCCTGTATTTTTGATTTCTCATGGATCTTTAAAGGTCCTGTAAAATGGAATAATTTTATTTTTCCTTTCCTCTCCCAGGTTTTCATGCTGAGCAGCAGTAACCAGAATAGCATTTTTAATACAAATTCAAAGTCCTTTTGTCTATTACTGTGTGTTTTATTGCAGTCTGGGTGATTTGGGTTATGGTAACTCACGTTGGAAGTCATGACTTGGACCTGGAAAAGCTGGGAGGTTTAAAAATGCCCATGAGCTCTTTTAGCTGGAAGTGAATTCACTCCCATGGCACAGGCTCTTGGCAGACAGAGATGCCTGCTTCAGGTTTGGCACCAAAGTGTCTGATTTTCAACCAGAGGTTGAGTTAATTTTGATTTTACAGCTGGGTATATTTAAAATTATGTTTTTCACTTCTAACAAAAGTCAGAATTCAGGGTTCATTGATCCAGGGGAAAAAAGCTTCCTCACTCTATTGCTGCTTCCTGACTTTTAACTTCCCTTGCCTTTTCTCATTCATCATTTTTAAGAACTGAGCACTTATAAAAAATACTTGGAACTTGTTTGGATTTGTCTGTTTCTGCACGAATTTTTCTTCCAGTGGGAAATGGAAATCAACTTTGCTGTCCCCAGAGTATCAGCTGGCACAAAGTTCAGGTGCTTGTGGTGAATCCACCAGACTTTTTTGAACAACACAAGTCTGTTGGGAAGGGCTGTCACACGCAGATTGAGTAATGTTTGTCTTCCTTTTTCTTTTTTACATCATTGACTTTTTTTTTTTTCAAGTTTTCTGTCTTTATAGAGAGTTGAAGTCAGAAATTTGGGTGTTTGAAATTCAGTCTCAATTTGATCTTTACAATTTTCTGTCATTCACCAAATTACTTCCCTGCCTTGGCTTTGTTTCATGGGCAGATCTGAAATGTTTGCTGTTGGTGCCCCTCTTGGGGATGTTGAAATGATAATTAATCTTTGAAAAGTGTTTTCAGAGGTGAAAAGAAACATTTCATGCAAGTATGAAGCATTTGCTTCTTTCTATTCATGCAAGTCCCTGGATTTGTTCATATTCTGCATCCTGATCCTTTATCAGGATGCCAGGAGGAAGGAATGTCCTTTTCCACATTTCCAGGTGCTGTTCCCCTGCTGCCCTGTACACTGCATGTGCAAAGCCATTTTCCTGCCATTTTCATCTTCCAGGCTGCAGGAAAATAGAAGTTTTTTGGAAAATGTGGAGTTTTTTCCTCAATAAACATATTTGTGGATAAAATAGCTCAGTAAACTGATAAGCCAGTTCTGGCTGGAGCCAATTCCCCTTATCTCCCACTGGAGCAGATGTGTTTGTGCACATCTGCTGATCTTGGGGTTATGTTGGGTTGGATTCAAGGACCCAAGGTGATGTTTTTGTGAAGTTTCCTCCTCCACACGCCCTGATTGCTTCCCTCCCTGTGTGCTGAGGAGAAGCCTGCTGGCATTTCCTAGGAGTTGTTGTGTTTGGTTTATTTTGTTCACGCTGGAGGAGGCTCAGCTGCACAGAGGTACTGCTGTGCCCTGGGGGATTCCTCCAGGATGAATTCCTCCTTCCTGCTTGCCCTGCTGCTGGGGAAGGTTTTAGGCTGTGCAATTTCGTCCCACTTCCTAAAAACATGATCTGAAGCTGCTGCAGATCCTAACACCTCTATTTTCCCCAGATACCAGGATGCTGAAGTTAGCCTTCCTTACACTTGGTCTTGAACCTCATCGGGTTGTCCCAGAGCCACCTCTCCAGCCTGTCCAGATCCTTCCCACACAGCTTGGTGTCACTGCCAAGCTTGTCCCCATGTCCCTGTCACTCTCGAAGATGTTGAACAGCACCAGCCCCATCAGCAGCTCACACAACTCTGATTTTTATTTTCACTCTTAGACATCAAATTTGAAGAAAAGAAATCCAAATGAAAGATGATTTTGGTACCTGCTGCTGTTTATTGTTGCTAAAGGTGTTTGATGTGAACACCACTGCTTTGTTTGCATTTATTTATGGTTGCTTTCCCATGGTCTGTTTGATTTGTATTTGTAAATATTCCTTTGGCATACAACATCCTTTTCATTCAGAGTGGTTAACCCTGAGCTGACCCATTTCCTAACCCCTCTGCACTCGTGGTAGAGGGGCACCTTTGAAAATACAATTGATTTTTTTTTTTTTTTTTGAGGTGCACAGCTCAATTTAAACACAGTTCTGTGCAATGAAATACTGAAAATTGAAAAACTTGTGAGATCCTAAAGGAGAAGTGCTGGGGTAAGCACTGCTGCCTCCTGCCCTTCTCCTTCATCCAGTTTTCCTCCTTAGGATATTTCAGGGGTGGTTTTACATTTAAACCCCTCCTCCAGAGTGATTACCTTGCCTGCACAACAAGAAGGGGAAATATCTGTGAGGAAATTCCATCATTTTAAGCTTTCCAATGGCAGGGTGGTAGTTGACATTATTGACAAAAATGTCAAACCACTTTGATCTCTTTAAAATTCATGTTTGGTTTTGGGTTTTTTTCACTTTGGTAAGTGCAGTTTTGCTTTCAATACCTGCTTTAGTACAGCATATGTGATTTTTATTGTTCTTAGGAATTCAGCTCCTTTGATATTAAGCCTCCAAATGGGAATTTAATATTTCAGCTGTGACTCATTGCATTGACTTTTTGGTCTTTGTGATAGACTTCAAGATTTTCCTTGTTTGCAATTTAGCCTTGAAAAACTCATCAGTCTATTTCAGCAGCTTCCTTTTCCACACTCTTTCATACACAAATAAAGAGGAATTCACAATGTTGCTCCTCTGAGGTTGCTGTCGGGAGCTGTTTTGGAGGAAATCTCCCCGAATTATAGAATATTTTCTTGCTTTTGAGTTGGCTGCTCAATTCTGGCTTTCTCTGGCACTCTTGACAGATTAAACTGTTGTATTTCCCCCTTTACCATTTTAATCTTTCTCCCTGCCTGGGTTTGTAGATGCTGATTTAAGAGCACAACATCTCCAGGGTTTCCTGGCGAGTTCCAGCAGCTGTAACTCCTGCTGAACATCCCTCACTACCCAGCAATTACCTTGGAGCTGCTGGCCAATGTTCCAGCCTGGCAGTTTTCATTCTTGAGCTCCTTGTTTAGTCTGACTGGGGAGATTTTTATTGCACCAAGTATTAAAAGGCTTTGCTGGAGTGGAGAGAGGCAGCAGCAGTCATTAGAGCCACTCACTAAATTATTTATTTGGCTAAAAAGTGAAATCTGATCTTGCTTGCCTGACCTGCCAGGAGGTAAAAGCATTGTTTTGTTTTGGTTTGCTATTTTTTTTTTTTTAACTCTGTGAACGAGAAATAAAAGTTTAAATTATATTCTTGAAGTTATTCATTTACACAGAGGAGGAAGTTAATTACTAGAGCTGGCAGAAGAGTTGTGATGCATTGTGATTCTAACAGAGAGGAGTTTAAGGAACCCTGAAAATCCATAGACACTTTGATGTAATACACTGATCTGGGTCACAAATTCCATGACAATTAAAATTATTTAAGTACTTTGATTAAAAAATCAGTAATTCTTCAGGCAGAAGCATGGAAACACTCATCCTTCTGCTTTCCCCCATTGCTGTTTTCATGTCAGCTCCAGTATTGAAATCCACAGTTGTTCCCTTTTCCCTCCCAAATGCTCCAAAGGCACATTACTCCTCGGAAATTGCAGCTTATGGCATTTTCTAATTGCTTTCAAAGCCAGTGAGTTATGGCAGCATATTAAACAACTGGCACTTAAAAGCTGGTGATCTCTTACATAAAAATATTAGCCTGAATATTTCCCTGTGTAGGATTTTCAGCACATCCCCTTTTTCTTTGGCTGGTTTTAGACCCTGTGGCAAACAAATTCTAATGGAGCTGTTAGAAACCCCTTTAAAAAAGGAATCCCAGCCCTGGATGTGCTGTGGGTGACACTCAGCCCTGATTAAAAGCTGCAATAAACTCTGCATCTGTGTTAGTTCCTAAAGGAAATTCAGGAGGGGACACTGCCTACAACTCTGCTTTTGGTTTAGGTTTGATCTCCTTCCATCTCCCCATGTGTCTCCCACGTTTCCAGAAGGACTATTTGGGATTTTGCCTCTGGATGGAGCGTTTGGGGTTTCTAACTCGTGCTCTTTGAAGGAATTTGCTGCCAGGGACAAGACAGGCAGAACGTGCAGGAGGGCGGATCATTCCCAGCATGATCCCTGCCAGCCCCAGCTCTCCCTTCCCTGTCCCTGCTGCCTTCTGCCACCTTGCCTGGCTGTGCCACAGCTGCTCTGGGACAAAGTTCTGGTAAGGTGCACATTTCTCATCACCTTTTCTTCCCCTCTCATCCCTCCCCTTTCCCTGCTTTTCATCCTGGCTTTGTAGGGATGTTCACAGCACCCACTTCTCTCTGAGAAAAGCTTCCAGGGCTTTGCAGGGTGGATGGAAAGGGGTTGATGGGGCAAAATAATAAAGCCAGGATGAGATCTTGAGCTCTGGAGAGCTCTGTCTCAGCAGGTTTCAGCCAGGAGAGCGAGTGGGGGGTCAGCAGGCACAGCCCAGGGTTGTGTTCTTGGCACTGTACCTGTGTCTCTTCTCCCTGAGCTGGATTTTCCCCTTTCTGGGACACTTCTGCAGGTTTTGTCAATATTTCTTCTGCAAACAGGAACTGCTGAAGCATTCCTGCCAGTAAAATCCTGAGTATACACAAGGAAGTTGGGATCGTTGTACTCTGTGGGCTCTGAAAAGAGCTTTGTCTTCACCCTTGTTCTTTACCCTTCTTTTGTTTTCTCTTGAATCAATAGATCACATCACAGATCCCTCCCTGCCTTGCCCTGTGCCTCTCTCATCCTCTGAGCTGCCACTTTTCAGCCCTGCTACACCTGGATTGTAAATGACAATGGTGGGAGTCAGTAGGAATCACCCTGAGCTGCAGGAGCAGTCCCTGCCTTAATTAAATGTTATCAGATCTCTGTGGATGTTCCAACTTTAACCCTTGCAGTACAGAATTCTTTTTGCCTTTCCCTCAGAGTTTTGGAGATCAGCAGCACCTTGCTAGGAGCAGCTCCTGCCTTGGTGGTTTCATTTGGGTTAAAAGCCTTTTCAGCCATGGTTTTAGGTAGGACAAAGATAAAGGTGGGCTTGGAGTTCCTCCTTGCAGAGCTTCTGAAGGAGATGTCACAAGGCTGCCCTTTAACACCGGGCTGTTTGCTTTTCCCTGGTTGTGTAAATGGGGAAGCTTATACAGGAATTTGGGTCTCTTTGCTCTGCAGATAACAATTCAGGAGAGGAATCAGACAAAATACTATATTTGGGGCAAAAATTAATAACTTGGGAATTTCCTCAGCATGTAAGGTCCTGGCTGTGCTTATAGACAGAACAAAAAGTTCTAGATCCTGCAAGAATTAAATAAAGACCAGGAGTCTTCCAGCCTCCACCTTAATGCAGTTTTTTGGGTGTTTCTGCCCGTAGGATTATTGATGCAAAAGTTTTAAATAATGTAGGGCTGCTTCTCAGATCCTGCTTTGAAAATAAAAGCATTTGGGGTGGGGTAAAGAGGGATCCTTAAGGCTCCAGCCTTGGTTTTCAAAGGGTGTGCAAAGTTTGGTTTGTACCTTGGTGCATTCAGACATCACTGGCATTGAAATGTAGCAGTGATACCCTGCCTGGGGAAAGGCAAGAACTGGCTTTATTACTTATCAGTGATGCTGGGCTGTGCTGGAAGCCCTCATTCCTTAAAACCTGTTCCCAGCTGGCAGTTTGAGGCCCTGGGAAGGTGATGTGGAGCCTGTTCTGATCACTGCTGTATTTCAGGCACACGCTCTGTGCTCAGTGAAGAGCCCAGGCATGGAATTTTATCTCAATTCTGTGTACAATCCCATTTCTCTCTTTCTGTCTGCTGTGATCCACCACCCCCCAGCTGTAACACACAGTCCAGTGACTCTGTTGGAACATTCTTTCCCCTCAGGTGAACAATCAGAATAATGTTCTACATAAACCTGTTGGAGAACCTGAAGGTTTATATCAGCAGCCGCCCTCCGCTCGTGGTCTTTATGATCAGCGTGAGCGCCATGGCCATCGCCTTCCTGACACTGGGCTACTTCTTCAAGATCAAGGAGATCAAATCCCCAGAAATGACAGAGGTACGTGCAAAAAATGGTCATTTGGAAAACATGCCTGAAGTTAAGGTTTTTTCCCCTCCTAGAGAGCACAGAATTGTGTGTGGCAGGGATTGTCTCCATTTTATTTTCAGAAGGGCTGTTGGGGTGAGTGTTTGTTAGTTGTTTTATATCAAGGACAAATCCAAATCATCTGTCATGGATCTTCCCTGCTGTGGCTAGGAACCTTTCAGTTTGTTATTTAGGTGTTATTCAGTTTGTTTATTTAGCTGGTTTGGGGAACTCCTTCCCTCAGCACTGTCCTGTAAGGAGGGGAACCTGGCAGCAACTGCTCACCAGAGCGTGGTGAGGGGCTTGGAGCAAAAACCCTGTGAGGAACGACTGAGGGAGCTGGGGGTGTTCAGCCTGGAGAAAAGGAGACCCAGAGGTGACCTTATCACTCTCTACAGCTCCTGAAAGGTGGCTGTGCTCAGCTGGGGCTGGGCTCTTTCTCCAGGCAGCACTGACAGAATGAGAGGACAGTCTCGAGCTGTGTTAAAGGAAATATAGGTTGGATATTAGGAAAAAGTTTTTTACAGAAAGAGTGATAAAGTTCTGGAATGGTCTGCCCAGGGAGGTGGTGGAGTCCCCATCCCTGGGTGTGTTTAACAAAGCCTGGATGTGGCACTGGGTGCCAGGGTTTAGTTGAGGTGTTGGGGCTGGGATGAACTCGATGATCTTGGAGGTCTCTTCCAACCCAGTGAACAGACTGAGTTTCCTTTCAGCTCCGGGGAGGGAGCTGGGACTGAACCCATCTGACTTCTGCAAACAACTTTCCTGTTGTTGAGCCAGCCCTGCTGGTGTTTGTGTTGCTCTCTGAGCCGTGTGATTTTTGTTCAATGGCCTGGAACCGGGCGGGACGGGACCGAGCGAGGCGGGAGCTCCCTCATGGGCTTGAATTCTCCCCCTTTTGTTTTAAGGACTGGAATACTTTCCTGCTGAGGTTTAATGATTTGGACTTCTGTATATCTGAGAATGAAACCTTGAAGCACCTCCTGAACGACACCACAACTCCAGAGAGCACCGTGACCAGCGGCCAGGCCAGGTCTTCCACGCAGTCCCCACAGACCCTCGAGGACTCTGGTCCCATCAACATCTCTGTCACCATCACGCTGACCCTGGACCCTCTCAGACCTTTTGGGGGATACTCTCGCAATGTCACACACCTCAGCTCCACAATTTTTGGGCACCAGATTGGACTTTCAGGTAGGCAAGGCTGGACCTTCAACAATTCAGGTTACAGTTGGCTTTTAGAGGTTTTTTCATACCCTTTTCACAGGGGGGATTGGCTTCACACTGAAATTAAAGAGGTTTAGATTAAATATTAGGAAGAAATTCTTTATTGTGAGGGTGATGAGTACTCAGAAGCTGTGGCTGCCCCATCCCTGGAAGTGTCCAAGGCCAGATTGGACAGGGCTTGGAGCAACCTGGGCTAGTGGAAATGTCCCTGCCCATGGCAGGGGGTGGAACAAGACAGTTTTTAGGGTCCCCTCCAACCCAAACCATTCTATGATTCCAAGTAATGATATCATTTTAACCACTATATAATCAGATAAAAATTTGCCAGCTTATTATGGGTGAGATAACTCTTATGCACAGATGTGCTCCCAACTTATTCTGAGTTTATTCCTGTATGGAGCCCTTCTCTTGTTTGTTAGAGGAACTTGTCCCTGCATTCAGAATGGAAAAGAACCTGCAGGCGTGCCAAGATCAGGCTTGGCAGTTTGAAATGATTAAACCTAATGACAATGGAAGGTCATTTTTAAGCCAGCAAAATTCCAAACAGTGACTCTCTTCAGTTTTGTCTTGGTCCATCAAGTCCTTAACTGACATTTCAAATGTGGCATAGATGCAGTAGAGAGTATTACATTGCCTAAAAAATTCTAGTTTATCTAAAATGCATAAGTGAATCAGCTTTAATATCACAAACAGCACCAGATAAGATGATTATGGTTTCTGTGGTGTGCAGAGACCAATCTGCTCTCTGGCTGCCTGCCAGGAAGTTTTGACAGGAGTTCATAGAGAATTAATAGAAATTGATAATAGAACCTCACTGTATTTTAGCTTTCAGCCAGAATTGCATTTTATAATAATGTTGAAGGTCTTGAACCTGTGGAGAGACATTGCCAATAGCTGCAAATGTGCATTACTGGGGTTTCTGTTGTTATTTTGTCACTGCTTTGAGAGCTACCAAATGCAAGTCCCATTTGCAGCAGCCTGGATTTGTTTTCAGTCTGAATTTCTCCACGTGGAGCTATCATACAGGACTTAATGTGCAGTTCAGCATCTGCTGACACCTTTTTCTCTACACAAAAATCTCCAGTTTGAAAAGTGAGCATCAGAAAAAACAGATGTGGAACGAAGTTCTTAGGAGGAGAAAGGCTTTTCTAATAAAGGTCTGTGAACATGCATGAATTCACTTAGAAAGAGTTTTGAATTTCTGAAAGCAGCCTGATGACCCCAGTTCTGGGGTGGGAGAGATTAGAAAGAGCAGCAGCTGGGGGATTTTGTGGTTTGTTTTGGGTTTTAACTTTGCTGTCTTTGTTGCCTGCAAAGATCCGGGATGACTCCAAAGGGTGATGCTTCCTGCCTTAATCATCTGTGTGCTCTCCTTACCCCAGTGATTATTGCTCAGATACTTTTGTGAGCCAAACCCAGCTTTCCTTGTCTCTTTCTCAAAGGCAGAGAATCCCACGAGGAGATAAACATCACCTTCACCCTGCCAGCTGCCTGGAATTCTGATGACTGTGTCCTGCACGGCCACTGCGAGCAGGTCGTGTTCACCACCTGCATGACTGTGACAGCAGCCAGCAACGTGTTCCCAGTCACAGTGTAAGTGCAGCTCTCCCCCAGGGGCTGCTTCCTGCCTCATTCATTCCTCTGAGTTGTTAGCTCCTCCTGAAAATTCCTGTTGATCATGGAAATTATGTCCTTGCACTCCTTCCCCCATGGTAAAACATTTGTCACAAAACCTCTGCTCTCTTTGAGATTTTTTTTGGCCCATGCCTGCCTTTCAACTGTGATTTAAACTTCACTGGGAGCAAGAGAATCCGTGAAAATTTAAGGGATTTACCCCATAATTGAGTTTCAGAGATGAGATTTGACACTGAGGTTCTCACCCTCTTCCCTGCTAAGAGATGAGCTCAAGGCAAAGGCTGCTTTGCCTTCACCAAAAGATCTTCCCTTTGTCTTTTCTGGATTCCCTGACACTGTTCCATCCCACCTGGAGGAGCTCAGGCTGTGGGAAGCCTTAGGAAAACCAGTATTTTTCCAATTAAGCTATGGGATGTTGGCTTAGTGCAACAACATGCAGTTAAATTCTGATTTTAGTGTAGCAATCATGTGGCTTTTGGGGGTTTTTAACTGAAACTTTGGGGTTTTGTTTTTGCTTTGGAAGGCCCAAACTAAAACCATGTTTTGAGAAGCAAAGTTGTCCTGGTTGAACATGGAAAATACATTTCAGAGTGCTGATTATTTCTGTTTTCTTGCAGTCAGCCACCACATTGTGTTCCTGAAACCTACAGCAATGCCACTCTGTGGTACAAGATCTTCACCACGGCCAGGGACTCGAACACAAAATATGCCCAGGATTACAACCCCTTCTGGTGTTACAAGGGAGCAATTGGCAAAGTCTACCATGCTTTAAACCCCAAACTAACTGTTATAGTTCCAGATGTAAGTGCTGGCTGTTGCTCTGGTGTTTTCAGTAAATGCTTAGTTCTGGTTTCATTGGATATGGTTCCTAAAATTGTCATTTTTGCTGTTGGTTTATTGTGTGGTTTCATTGGATATGGTTCCTAAAATTATCATTTTTGCTGCTGGTTTAGTGTGTGGTGTGAGGGCTGAGAATGCTCCAGCCTAATGGGTTTGATGATTTTCATCCATGTGCCTCACAGCTCTTCATAACCACCATTTATACTTTGAAATCATTTCACAAAAGCCTCTGCCAATACTTGGAAAAATATCCCTAACACAGATTTTTAACACAAGAAACGTTTTGTGCCACGAGTAGGAATCACTTCCATTGCTGTGTAAAGGGGAGAAAGTTGATTAATGAAGTAATTTCTGGGTTGATCTGGTAATTATTGCTTTAATGTCAAGTGCTAGGTCAGTAAATGGTTTTAATTTGCTTTTCTGTGTGCAGGATGACCGCTCTCTAATAAACCTGCACCTCATGCACACCAGTTACTTCCTCTTTGTGATGGTGATCACAATGTTCTGCTATGCAGTCATTAAAGGCAGACCAAGCAAACTGAGGCAAAGCAACACAGAATTCTGCTCTGAAAAGGTGAGTGTGTGGTAACAGAATCCTGACTGATAAGGAAACAGAGAAAAGCTCCTCTTGGGCAGGGGACAGACTGGTTTTTCTTGTCTCTGGAAATGGGGATTTAATTGCCTTTCATTGTGGACAGTGCAGGTAGGGGTTATAAAATCCACACAAGGGCTTTGGAGATCCTCAAAATGAGATTTCTGTCCTCCAGAAATGCATTATTGCAGCTCAGGAAGTGCTGGGCTGTGACTCTTCTGCCATAATTATGGTGTTGCTGGGACTTTTTTGTGAAGCAATGAATAGGTGGCGTTAAATCTTAATTTATTCATTATCTTTTACCACAACAGACTGAAAGCCTTGAGTAAAACATGATACATAATTCTAAGGGTTGTTCATCAGAATTAAGTTAAAAACAAAGCTGTTGAAAGAGTCATTGGTTGTTAATCAGAATTAAGTTAAAAACAGTAACAAAGCTGTTGAAAGAATCATTGTTCAATGTTACCTTGGGGACCTGCAGTTTGCCTGAAGGATTCAATATGAATATTTTTAATTGAGAAGTAGGAAGCTAGTGTTGACACCTTTTGGTCTTAATGATATTTTGTAGTTTGAGCTGGTTTGGGGTGTTTTTTGTGGGTTTGTTTTTTTGGTTTTTTTGGGTTGTTTTTTTTTTTTTTTTGGGTGGTTTGGGACTTTTATTCTATTGATTTTTGCAAAGTACAAAACGCCTTCAGACTCCCTTTGATTTCCTTTCCAAGTCAGACTGTCCAAGCTTTCTTTGAAAAGTCAAGGACAGCTCTGCCAGCTCACAGGGATAAATCATATCACTGTTACAGGATTAAGAATTTCCCTTTAATTAAATATTTTCTCTTCCTTTGTTTTTATTTTCCAGGTTGCTTTGTCAGAAGCATAAAAACCCCCCCTGTCCTCCTGAGAACGACGAAACCATTGCCTGCTGAACCCAGCCTGGGTCTTAACACTCTGTGAATCCATTACCTTGCAATGTTGGTTTATTCCAACCAAAGACATTTCAAAGTGCCTGTAATTGATTTGTACATATTTATAAAAGCAGAATATCCAGAGTAATTCTGAGCAGATGTGCTTGTCCCCTGGCCCTGCCCTGGGACAGCCCCATGGTGGTGTAGATAACTCCACTGAAAAGGCTCCACAGAGGCAGAGATTTTTGTCTAGCTGCACCTGGGCAGGTGAAGATGCCTTTGCAAGTGTCTCAAACCAACCAAGAGATGTTTGGTTTTTTGCCCAACCTGTACAGTGTGTTTGAACCAAGTATGCACCTTTGATATAATCCTGCATTTCCAAAGCCACCAATCTACAACATGAATTCAATGTGTGTTTGTGTGGCCTAATACTTTATTCCATTTGCTCCTTGCTTGCAAGAAAAGATATCAACGTTTTAGATTTTTTTTTCTCTTTTGGAAAAAAAAAAATACATATTCACATTTTAATAGTGCTGTATTTAGGACAAACTTGTGCTTTTATTCATAGTAAAGAAATTAAGAAGTGAAGTCCCATTTTAAACTGTTACTTGCTGAAAAGAACTGTTTGATTTTTTTGTTCTGTTTTGGTTTGTTTTTTTGGTTTGTTTTTTTGGTATTTCATTTGGCTTGCTGAATGCCAGAGAACCAGTCAGCACAGAGACTATCTGGAAAACTTTTCCACTTGGCCTCCCCTCCCCAGCCCTCCAGCCAGGATCGTGTGTCTCTGCTGCAGAGCAGCTGTCTGTAAGCTTTTTTTTTTTTTCTATTTTCTTTCTTTTCTTTCTAGAAAGTGAAACTTAATAAAAAGATGTATTGTGTTAGCAGCCTGCTGGGGCTCTGCACAGCCTTGGTCAAGTGCAAAGAGTGAAAGGAAAAGAGATCCCAGAGTCTGTTCCAGAGCTTCCCTCTGGGACTGTGCCTGCAGCTCTGAGGGGCAGCAGCCCCTGGCCCTGCTGGGCTCTGGCCCTTTAAATTCATTAAATTGCCATTTTCTGCTGTCCACCCAGGGGAAAATGGCCACAAAAGTGGGGCTCTTGTGAGGAAGGTCAAAGAAACCACCCAGTGAAACCCCTTCTGTTCTCTGTGTCCATTCTCCTGTCAGAGATTTGGTTCTTGCATTTCTCCATTCTGCCTTTTGCTGGTTTTTCTTGTGGTTCCTTGAGCAGCCTCCTCAGTTTCAGGGGTCAGGCTCTCCTGCAGACACTTCCACTCCTGCTTTTAAATCTCACTGGTTGCCTTAATTGACTTTTTACTTTTCTCCCAGCTTTCATTCATTCCTTGATTCCTTCCCACAGGCTTTTTTTCCTCTTCCTTTTGCTCCAAACTCCACAGAAGAAAAAAGCCAAGTAAGAATCTCATAGTCTCAGTGATGCTGGCAGAAAATTCCCAGTTTGTTCCCTCCAGACACCACTCCTGGTCTGTGTGTGTTGGGACTTCAGTAAGTTCACGAGTGTTAAGGGTGTTTGAGCAGTCACAGTTTTGTTTCCTCCCACAGTTTCAGTTCCCTAAGTGGGATTACCTGACATGTTTTCTTCCAGGGAATGTTAAGGCAAAGCTTTAGAGATGGCCTGGTTTGAAGTTTAGGGATAAAAAGAAGCTCCCAATTTTCTCCTGATGCTGCTGTGGGCTGCTGCTGCTTCCCTGGGATGAGGCAGGGGAGTGAAACAGGCCAAGAGCTTCTCCTGAGCTGTTCCTAAATCCCAGCCTGAGCTGTTCCTAAATCCCACAAGCCCAGCCTTCCGTGCTAATCCTCATTCCAAGAGCTGCCTCTGAGAGTGGCTGGATCTTGGGCCCAAAGGCAGGAATAGGAGATGGACTGGGAGAGAGGAATCCTGGAAATACCCAAAAACCACCCAACATCCCCCAAAGCAAAGCAAATCCTTTCTCCTTCAAAAAATTCCAGCTCCAAACGTCCCAGCTGGAATTTGGGCTGTCGGGGGAACCATTTGGGAATGAAAGGAACCTCCTTGGCAACTTCTCCCCCACTTTCTGCACCCCCAGGAATATTAAAGATTGTCACCCACAGATGCAGAAGGGAGAACGTTGGAGAGTTGGATTTTTGGCCTTAGTTATCCTTCTGCCCCCTGTATTGCAGCAGGGAGGTGCAGGCTGTCCCAGCAGGCCAAGTGCTGGAATGCTGAGGAATATTGGATTGTTCCCAGGCGATGTACAAAGTTAAATGCAGCCAAACAGAAGAGTTAAAACTTAATATTAAAGTTCAGATCATATTGATCTTTCCTTTTTTTGTTTTCTTTTTTCTTTTTAACTATGACTTGAATCAGTTTTGATTCTATTTGTACGTGTTTTCTTGTTCTTAGAAAGCTGCCATTTTCTTTTTTTTTCTTTTTTTTTTTCATTTTCTTTGGCATTACATAGAAAATCTGAGCCTTGGTTTCAACCCTCTGCAGGTGATTGTAGGGTTCGAGATGGCTGTTTTTTGGTTTTTGTTTTGTTTTGTTTTGTTCTTACATTTCACTTGTCTTGTTGCATGATGGTTAATAGCTGATTTGGAAATGACATTTCTCTCCTAGATTAATTTTTGTGTTTGTAAGATGTGCATATTGCTTTGCAGAATAAAAACTATGAAGTTTATCTTTGTTGTCTTTATTTCCACAGCCTGGTGGCTGCAGAGGTTTCATAAATCAACCAAAATTACGTGGAGCACAGGAGGAGATCAGGGAAAAATCTGCAGCAAAATGAAATTGAATTTGGGTTGTAAATTCTCTTTTTCCCTCCAGCACTCATCAAAACCTTGCTGGTGATGAATTGCCTGGCAGGGAGAAAATCAATCTGAAGGTAGCAGCTTCTGTTTCTGTTTAACTCCTGGGACTTGTTTGTCTGCTGTCACCAAAATTTGGATTCCTGACCCCAGCCCTGTCCTGGGAGATCTCAGGAGCTGCACACACACAAAGGATCCATTGTGGGTCCTTCCTCTGAGCTTTTGCCAAATTTTTGGGTGCAGTCTGAGGCCTGACCTTGAGTGTCTGTGAGCCTGGACTGGGAACAGCTCAGTGACCAAAAGAAGGGTTTGGCTCTCCCTGCAGCCCATTCCTGAGCTGTCCCTGTCCCTGCAGAGGCTCTGCACAGCCCCACTCCCTTGCTGTGCCTTTTCCTGGGCTGCTGGGACAGCCTGGTTTTGAAAAATCCCTTTTAAAGGGTTTTTACACTCTGCTGTGACTTTTACTGAGAGCTAAAATCTGGATCATCCCAGCTGCTCCAGCTCTGCCCTGCAAGGCTTCCTGGCAGAACCAATATTCCCTTTTATTTACCTTCTGAAGATGTTTCTTTACAGAACTCTTGGGATCTAAGCATAGATTTCCCTGGGCTGCCTTTTTTTTTAGCTCCTTGCACCAGGATTCAGGCACCTCCATGAAATAAATAGCAATAAGATTCAACCTGTAGTGACAAAAAGAGTAAGGCAAGGCAGAGAGCAGCTTTTTAAAAATGTTTGTGACTAAAAAAAGTCACAATTCCATGTCATTTGTCTTTTGAAAGGATCCCTGCTGGTAATATTCCAGCAATAAGGGGTTTTACAGTGAGGAGGGTGATAAAATATTCCCTGTGATCATGGGATAATCACACCAGGGAGTTGTTTTGTCAGTGGGGAAAGGATGAGAGCCCAGGAGCAGCTCAGGTGAGGTGAGGGACTGAAAAACGGGTGTCCTTGGATTCTGTAGGGACAAAATTGTCACCTAGAAGGCACAAATGGCTAGAAAAGGTAATTTTTGGGAGGTAAGGGCTCGCTGTGGGGCTCAGAGCAATGGATGTGCCCCTAAATTTGAGCCTCACCCTCCTGAAAGCCTGGTTGTGTTCCTTAAAGCTCAGGGGATGGGGGAAAACAGCTTAAAAATGCACATTTCCAAAAGGAAACCCTCTGTGAGATCCCAGGCAATGCCGGTAACCTGAAAGTGCCTGGAAATGATGAGAAACCAAACGATCTGGGTCAGGGAGAGAAGCCTGGAATTCCTGCAGGGAAAGGATTTGTAGGATGAGGCAAAATGAGGAATGTCAGTGGGGAAGGGGGAGCTGTGCCCTGAGGGGACTCGGGGGCTGGAGGGGAAATCCAGAGAGGCTGGAAGGGAATCCCTGAGCAGGAATCCCTGAGCAGGAATCCATGAGGACAGGGGGCTGGAAGGAGAATCCCTGGCGGGGATTCCTGTGGAGGGAGAGGCTGAGGGAGATTTCTGAACAGGGATCCCTGAGGACAGAGAGTCTGGAGGAGAATTCCTGTGGGTGCAGGGCCTGAAAGGGGAGCCCTGCAGAGAAAGGGGCTGTGGAAAGATCCTGAGGTGAGGATCCCTGAGGATGGAAGGGCTGCAGAGGGAATCCCTGAGGAGGAATCCCTTAGGACTGAGGGTGTGGAGGGGAAATCCTGAGGTGGGGATTCCTGAGAATGGAGGGATGGAGGGGGATCTCGGAGCGGGGATTCCTGAGGGGGATCCCTGAGGATGCAGGGTATGGAAGGAGAACCCTGAGCGGGGAGCGCTGAGGATGGAGGGGCTGGAGGGAGATCCTGGAGCGGGGATTCCTGAGGGAGATCCCCGAGAATGGAAGGGATGGAGGGGGATCCTGGTGGACAAAGGGTCTGGAGAGGGTCCGTAATCGGCTGTCCCTGCTCGGGTGCTCATGTGCGGTGTTCCCGGTGTCCCTGTCCCGGTGTCCCTGTGCGGGTGTTCCCGGTGTCCCTGTCCGGGTGTCCCGTTCCCGGTGTCCCTGTCCCGGTGTCCCGTTCCCGGTGTCCCTGCCGGACACCGCTGGGTGGCGGCACGAGCCCGTCCTTTCCCCGAGCGGGGCCGATTCCTTTCGGAGGGGATGGAAAATCCCGGAGCCGCAGCGTTTTCCCATCCCGGTGTTCCCCAGGGAAAATCCCGGAGACGCAGCGCTTTCCCATCCCGGTGTTCTCCAGGGGAAATCCCGGAGCCGCAGCGTTTTCCCATCCCGATGTTCCCCAGGGGAAATCCCGGAGCCGCAGCGTTTTCCCATCCCGGTGTTCCCCTGGGATCTCTCGCTCCCGGTGGTGTCCGGGTTTGGCAGAGCCCGGGTTTTGTGCACTGAGGGCACGTGTGGGAGTGCAAACTGGGATTTTTCCTGGAGATGTCCCAGTGGGAGAGGCACCCCCAGTTCACTGCGGGCTCAGGAGTGCGGCCGTGCTGCTCCTCCCTCATCCCTGCTCCCCACCGTGCCCCCGACAGCCTCCAAGCACAGCAGGAGAGCTAAACACCCCCATGACAAAATTCCCTGTCCTTTCATCCCCACCTGTATTCCCAAAAAACAACAAACCCAGGCCTAGCACTCCGGGGTAGAGATGTCCCCCGAGCAGCATCCCAGGCCACGGATGAACTTTTAATTACAAATATTCCACACCTGCAGCTGCCTGGGGAAGGTCTGGCGAGTGAGGTTGTTTTCCCAGGTCTTGCTTCCAGGCAGAGAAAGGGAAGAGCAGGAAACTCGTAAGGAATAATTCGGGTTTGTGGATCCCCCCTTGGAAGCCCAGCCCGGTGAACACAAAGGTCAAAGCAATCAGACAAAACTTTTCCTGCCATGGATCAAAGGAGGAATTCCAGAGGATTTGCTTTTCTCGGTTGTGATAACCGTGAAGCTCAGCCCCCAGGTCTGATGCTGGTTCTGGCTGCCAAGCACGGGGTCTGCCTTGATTCAGAATTAATCTCAGCAGCGACATTGAGGTGGAAAGGTGCTGGTGCCACGATGGTGGCTCAGACCCCTGCTGGCAGCAATGTCACCATTTCCTGACCACAACCCAGCCCCGATGCCCAACTTTGCCCTGAAGACAACGGGAATTAATCGTTCTTTGGGATATTGGAGCTTCCCCACCCCTCCTCCTTTATTTAAAGCCACAACCCCCGCGATTCCCGGCCGTGATGGACACGGGAACTCCTCTCCTTCCTCCCTTCGCTTTGGGGGAAGCTGCTGCTGTGGGGGAGCGAGGCGAGCTCCTGTAATTATTTATGGCACTCCATCGTGCGTGGATAAAATGGTTTGCAGGAATCCTTCCTGTAGGAATGGTTTCTCGGGAATCCTTCCTGAATCGCTGAGAGCTCCCAGCAGGGAATGCCGCTGCCGCGGGGATGCTGTGCCACCACCGGGGTGACACCAGCCGCATTCCGTGTGCAGAGGGGATGCAGACTGGCACAGAGGAAAATCCCTCCCTCGGGCATTGCCGGCACGACCCGAGGAGTGCGGAGCGAGCTGCGGGGTGAAGGGAGCCCGGGCCGGGATCGGCAGCTCCTGGCGCAGCCCCAGGGACCCTGGGGACAATGACAGCGGCCCGAAGGCGCCGGGCGGGGGCTCAGGGGCCGCAGGAAGGAGCCCCCGGCAGCCCGGGATTGCTGGAGCTCAGGACAGGCTTTTGTGTGCCGGGGGCCGCTGAACCTCGGGATGGCTGCCCTGACAAAGGCAGGATCCTTGGGAAACAATTCCACACGGCTGAGAGCCGGGATCCGGGCAGGATCCTTTGGGAAGCAATTCCACACCGCTGAGGGTTCAGGATCCTTTGGGAAGCCATTCCCCATGCTGAGAGCCGGGATCCGGGCAGGATCCTTTGGGAAGCAATTCCCCATGCTGAGAGCCGGGATCCGGGCAGATCTGTGGATCACCCGAGGGCTGGGGGTGCATCAATGGCACAACCCGGGGTGGATTTGCTGCTGGACCAGCCTCGAGCCATCTGTGGCTCTACAGCTGCAGACTGAGCGAAATTGGAGCTCAGCTTCAGGGCTGCCCCAAACGAAGCCCAGGCTCGCATTCCTGGTGGCAGCGCTGTCCCCGAGGGGCTGCCCCCCTGCCCTGCCACCTCCCCGAGCTCTCCCGAGTCCTGCTGGAACTCCGGGAATGTTCCAGTCACCAGATCCGAGCTCCCAGGCGTGGAGAGCACTGTCCTTCGGGGGCTGGCAGGGATGGGGACAGGCTGGGTGAGGCTCTGCTGAGTGGGGTGAGCTGCTGCCTTTGAACAGGATCAGGGCTTGAGATCAAAAACTCACTGAAACCAACATTTCTGGGCGGGTTGAATCGCTCTTTTTGTGGTTCATACCCTGCTTTGAGCAGTAGGTGAGTGCTCTCCACGGTGTGACCTCATGGGGTCAGAAGTTTGTGGCTCTTGAGGACAGCACATCTCTGCTATTTTTGGCCAGATTTTCCTGAGAGCAGCTTGCAGATGTTGATGTTGGGAGCACAGGGCTTCCAGAGCTGGCTGGGACAGCCCAGGAGAGGCAGTGAGTTCCTGCTGGAGAGATTTCTCTGCTGGGGCTGTGTCCTCTGGGGCTTTGAGAAATGCTGACTCCTTCTCCTTCTCCTTCTCCTTCTCCTTCTCCTTCTCCTTCTCCTTCTCCTTCTCCTTTCTCTCCTCCTCTTTCTCCTCTTCCTCATCCTCCTCCCCCCAGCCTCACTCCCTGTGCACAGCCTTGCTGGCAATTTTGCCATCGATTGCAAATCCAGATGTGACCTTGCTGCCAAGAGATTTTGGGAATCATCCCTCCCTGCTGCTCTCCCTGCAGGGGGAGGGTGCTCTGGGCCTGGTTCTGCTCATTTCTCCAAAATCAGCCACTTCCAGCCTCCAGCCTGGGGCGTTTCAGCTGTTG